CCTCATAACTAATCACACAGAGTTGGTAGGAAGAGCAAAGTAGATAATATGTGTGACATACTAACCTTATCCCTGATCATTAAGGAAAGAGTAATATTCATTAAATATACACAGTATGAGCAAAGAGGAATATTGCCCTTTTGACCTTTCATATCCAAAACCATATAGACTCTGGCTTATAAAACTTAAAGAATAAGCCGGCATTCTGCTTCATAATTTTGGAAGACTCACGCCGTGAATAGGTTAAGTTCTGATGTCTCCCCTTCCAATCATGTTGCAAGACAATAAAGTTCTTGTCAAAAGCTTCTGAATCTAGCTTTGAGGACACCTCGCAGAACAAAGATCCTGTAGTTTATGTATGGCCATTTGAGTTTCATTCTCCGCTGCTATAAACTGAAACACAGATGAACTCTTCTGAGAACTACTTCCAGGTCAAAATTTGGGCAGGATGATGCTGTTATATATTATGTACTTACACACTCAGATTCAAAAGCCTACAGTAAGAAGTGAGATTCTATATGTTCCACTAATATCACTGATAAAGACAGGCTGAGCATACAAAATGAGAAGCTGCCCCATCCAGATAATACATATAAAATAATGGTAGCAAACAGGGCAAGTAAAGTTCTTATTTCATCCTGGTGTGCCTTCCAGCTTCAGATGATCCAATCAAGATCTCTCTCATTTCAGTTAATCCCAGATCCAGTCAAGTTGACACCCAGGATTAGCCATCACAGGTGATAAGGGTGTGGTTTATTTTTTCTGATGTCCATTTTGTTGTTTACTTTCTTAGGGCTGGAAAGGAGTATTGTAGTGTGTTTTTTAAGCTTTAATAAACTGCTTTGGTTGAATCTGTTAAATTTTTGCTGTTACTGATTCCAAAAACACTCTTTTTTTTTTATCTCACCATTGGACACTGTGCAAAAGCTTTGGATGGTGAATCAAATAAATTTGATGATACTAACCAAACCTATCCTCTTCAAACTAGGTCAGCACTTGTAAGTGGGATCACTCCAGCTCCTATCTAAGTAAGAGCTACTTGGAGAGTATGAAGACTTTAGGGACAGCCCTTATCTAAGCTTTTTGAGCCACAATAAAGTGACATTCTTTCAGGGGGTAATTTTATTATAGGACCTCTATCTCAGAAAAACAGAAACCCAAAACCCCTCAACAGGTTCTCCACAATGTGTTAAAATGTGATCTGTTCTTTTCTAGAATCCAGGAACTCAGACATTACCTTCCCAGCACCTAAAACTATGTCCTTCTCAACTCTTTGATTTCCCTCCCCTACTAAACTTTTATTCCTGATCCTGCTTTTTTCTCATGACTATAGAGAGGACTGAAATTGCTTGATGTGCACTGCCACAGATACTAGTATTGAACAGCTTCTTATAAATGCTTCTTATTGCCTTAACACAGCCCAAATTCACATTTCTATTAAAATGATTTAACAAACAACATAAATACAAAGAAATAATATATATTTACTAAACATCTTTCATATGCCAAATGCTGTACAATGCATTTTACATATTGATCACCTTATTAAGTCATATAACAAATCATGGTCCAGACACAATTGTTCCCATTTTATAAGTAAACCACAATCACATAATCATAAGTATTTGAATTCCACTCTGTAAACACAGATGACTTGCAGTAGCTTGGGGGGGAATATGATCAAAAGAAGAAATTTATTTTTTAAAATTGAGTTAAGAATGGCTGTTCTTTTAAAGATTGTTGCTAAACTATTTCCTGGAATGAGACACTAACTTTTCTGAAACATTTTATTCATGCACAGTTTTAGCCTATATTCTTTAATTTCATGGAAATCTGGACTCTTTGGAAAGATGTTTATGTGAAGTAAGTTTGTATTTAATTTAGTAAACATCAGCCATCTTTAAGGAAAAATGTGACATGATACATGGTGTCTTAATTACTTCAGCTATGAAATGGGTTTAAGTATACTGTTCCTACCTATTCCAGAACTTTGGAAAATATAAAAACCCTTGTAAATGGAAATACACTATAGCTATTTATTATGTTATTATCTCCAGGATCATCATTATGACCAGATTCTAAAAGAAGTTAACCAACCCTTAACTGGAAGTAAAAAACCAATAAATTAATCAGAGGATTCTTAACAAAGGAGAGAACTGATATGTATTTAAAAGAGAAAAGCTGTTCATGTTGGGTGATTATAAAATTCAAAATTGGTAATGCTGGGAAGCAAAAGTAAATTAAAATTCCTTGGTTCCCCTAAGTAATGATGCACATTTATCTTCCTGTGTCACAATTTTGATCAGAACTCACTAGAGGAGGAGCCTCTGAAAATAGCTTCAAATTGGCCAGTCAGATAGTAGATTATCAGTGAATCAGATGAACTGTTGCAGACTAAGCAGCTGAGCAGGAAATTAGGTAGAAGAAGCTTGGTAACTGAATAGAACCCCAAAGCATGTCACCTATTGTTGCGCATGATGTGACACATTCCTAAATAGTACATCCTGATGGCTAAGAGATGAACTCAGGGTTAGATTTTATACGTTTGAACTCCATATTAGTCATTTAATATGTGGTATCATGACACAAGTTACTTAACTTTCCTAAGATCCATTTTTCCTATCAATAAAATGTAGCTGATAGTAATATCTAAATCATAATGTTGTGTGAACAATATCAACTTTATTTTACCATAAGATATTCAGCCATTACTTGTCTTTTTATTCTGCTGTCTTCTATACCCCATGCTTTTAAGTTGTGAACTGAGTAGTTGTGCATTGATTGACATCTTAAGAAATCTGTGGCTCTGCCTAGTTCTATGCTGTTCTTTCTCCAGATTCTAGGTGTGGACATGAATGTAAAATGGCATTAAAAGGGTAAAAATAAAATTGCCCAATTTGGCACAACCCTATATTATCTCTGGAGACAGGCAAGCCCAGGCACAGCTGATGAGTAAACCAGATACGATACAGAGAACATTTCCTTCTCCTTTTTTGGTTTCAAGCCTATTTTTGAAGCCATAGAGCTCTCTGGTGCAGTTAGCACCCAGAGGCACAGAGGCGATGGCTACTGCCACTGGAGGGTCTCCACAGTTGTGGCTGACATTGCTGCTCTTCTGTAAGTACAGGTTCAAATTACCTTCTACCTGAGGGGCCAAAATGCATATAGTGAGCAACAGTGTGGGAACTTCGATGGTTTGGGTGGTGACTTTCTAGCATATATGCAAACCATGGGGCATTTTCCAGGGACTCTGTAGAGGAGCGATGCAGAGGATACTGGGCTGAGCGCCACTTAAGTGGGAAGACAAACCAAAAACTTGGCTCCTTGCAATCCTCTGGCATCTCCCAGCAAGCAAGATTCCTACCAAAAGAGGAGGATAGAAGGAAAGAGAGTAGCTTCTTCTTCTTGATCAGGTTCTTGGGAAGATGGTGGCCCTTAAAACCCTACAGATATGGGTCATACTACCAAACACAGATCTCACTCTGCTAGAGTCTTGAAAGACAGGTGACAGATGCTAACTTACCCTTTCTGAATTTTTGCAGCTCTGGAAGGCATGCCAATAGGTGAGTCCTTTATCCTTGCCTCCTCAGTATTTCAGTGTGTCTGTGCATTGCTTTCCCTTTACTGTCTGTCTCCTATCATGTCTATTTTCTTATGGTATGAATCTTCCTCTTCCTGCCCAGCTAACTTCCCATCTCTACCTTATCCTTTCCTTCTTTCCCCCAGCTCAAAATCTTCTTTATACATAATTATTTCTTTTTCAAGTCACCTGCTCTTCTGAGTAAGCCAACAGCCATGTCTTGGGTTGACGTTTCTCATCCCAGCCTCTCTTCCAGTATTTCACATATACTCATCCAATATTCACACAATTGCCATTATTGCTATTTCATAATTGAGAGACCCAGGACAAGTCACCTACCAGAGGTTACAAGGCTAGCAAAGGACTGGATTCTGACATAAGTCCTTTGTGTCTAAATACAGTTCTCCTTAGTCTAAATTGCCTTTCTGTTATCATCATGTAGCCACTTCCTTAGCCTCTCTTTAAGTTTTCACCACATCTCTTTGCTCCTGGAATCCCTCCAAGACTGACACTCCTGGTGCTTCTCACCAGTTTCTATAACTAGCAAACATTTTTTGCTTTCAGTAGAGTCAACCAAACAATTACCAAAATTCAGAGCTTGTAGGGCCTATATTTTATTAACTTGATTATATATTTTATTTACTATAATGTATTTATATACACTGTACACTAAAATATAATAATTCTTGCTATTGTCAGAAATTGACAGTTTCTCCTGACATGTTTTAAGGAAGTGAAAAATTTAACATTTATTCATTATTCCAAAATTCAGACATTCAATAATTATTTAACACCACATATCAACCTTTATGTTAATCAATGATTGGTAGGGCAAATGTTGTTCCTACCTAAAAGAGATTATAATTCTCATTTACAGATACTGAAATTGAAATTAAGAGAATTAGAGTAAGTTAGTCCATCACATAATAAAATAGTTTATTTTCAAACCTCTTGCCTTTGTGTCCTATCTGTATGACTATGTTGGGAGCTTCCTGAGGCCACAACACTTTATTTCATCCTTTAATTCTTTGCCTACAAATCAGGACAGTGTCTTGTCACCAGCAGTGCAAGGGTATGCTGGCCATTGACTGACTATTTGTATGTTTTTACTTTTGATATCACACAAGTTTTTTGGGTTTTTTATCTATTTATTTTTATTTTGTGGGTGTGAGTGTTATGCCTGCCTGTGTGTAAGTGCACCCATGTGGAGCAAAGCCTGTGAAGGACAAAAGAAGGTATCAGATCCCCCCATACTGGAGTTAGGGATGATTGTTAGCCTCCATGTAGATGCTGGGATTTGAACCTGGGTTTTCTGCAAGAACAGTGGTGCTCTTAACTGCTGAGCCATCTCTCCTGTCTCAAGAGATTGCATAATTTTTAATGATTTTAAATTTCTATAATTTCACAATTTTATCTTCTTTAAGCCACTCAGAAATCTGTAGTGTCTTTGAACCCACCATGGATTAGAATATTTAAAGGAGAGACAGTGACTCTTACATGCAATAAGAACAATTCCCGGGAAGAAAACTCTACTGAGTGGATGCACAATGGCATAGTTTCTAATGTGAAAACTACATACTGGGAAATCGTGAATGCCACCATTCAAGACAGTGGAAACTACACATGTCAGAGCCAACCATTTTCTGAAAGTAAACCTGTGCACCTAGAAGTAACTGCAGGTAAGTTCTAGGGATGTGGAAATTCATATTTCCCATATGAGAAGTGACCCTGGGTTCCCCATCTTAAGATGGGGAGAAAGTAGGTAATTCTAAGACTAGGATCACCAGTGTGAGATTAAGGGCTTCTCATTTGAAGATCTCCTACTGCCTTTATTTCTATACTACTCATAATCCTTTTTCAATATTGAAGTCCTTATTTCAATATTTCAATTTCAGCCCTCAACGCCATCTTCTACTCTACTTCTTCTGTTTATTCTGCCTAGATGCAGATGTGTAGTATATGATCAGAGGGCATGATAGGCATATGGTCATTGCAAAGAGCTGTGTATCTACAGGGGGATCACAAGGTTTGAGTAAAGATTTTCTCTGAATAATGCATGTGTCATGCAACATACCTGTGTACCTTGCTCATGTCCCTTTCTACCACTGGAAACAATCCTTTTCTTTATTTCATCTTTACTACTCTTTTACAGTTAATAATTATTTCAACATTTTTATCTGCATCTTTTGGGTTTTTGCTAGTTTTGTTTGTTTTGTTTTGTTTTGTTTGACAGGGTCTCTCTAGTCCCGGTCCACCTGGAAGTCTCTATGTGGATCAGACTGTCTTCAATCTCATAGATATCTACCTACTTTTGCCTTTGAAGGGCTGGGATTAACATGTGTGCTAAGATGCCCGGCATACAAATTATCTTTTGAATGGATAAGTTACACTTTATATATTTCCCCCTCGAATGAAAGGAGATTGCTAACATGCCAGTTTATATGCCAATTCCAAATATAAACTATAACAATGCAGAATAGTTTATTTCCTGTAGTAGATTCTAGAGAAATCTTCAAAGGGTTTTTCTTAAATGCAATAGCTTACACAAGTTACCCATATTCACATTCAGAATTCTCCTTTCACAAATGCTTTGCAGTTCTTAGAATGTCATTAGCCATTGGAACATCACTCTTGTGTTTTTGCTGAGTCATTATCGGCAACAATTCATTGAATGCCTACCAACTCCTAGGCATTGTTTTAGGTACTAGGGACAATGTACAACCAGATACAGCCCTGACTCCTTAAAACTATAAATCTGTATAGGAAGATGACATTAAGCTAAACAAAGAAAGTAAACAAATAAATAGTTAAAATTACTGCATAGATTTTAAGAAAATTTTGAGGCCAACTGTAATTAACAACAGAAGTGAGAAGCCTCTGGTGATGTATGAAAGGACAAAATTAATTCTTTAAGTTAAAACTCGACAGGAAGAATATGTTTGGTTGCTGTTTCTTAACTAGACCTAACTACAACAAATTTGAAGTGAATTCTGGGTATCAGACCTTCCATGCATGGGCTCAGTACAAAGGTACAAGAATGGCTCCAGACTGGCTTTCCAGGAGGAGAAAAGATTCATCTGCATAGAAGAGAAATTATAAATATTATTTTGTCATTATTCTTTAATGGACCTTATGAACCAAGAAATGGATTAAGAATCATCCATGAATGACCCCTTTTATCTGTCTGTGAGTCTGTCTGCCCCTCTCTCCCTGTCCCACTTCCTCAATCCTTTTATGTATTGTTTAATAAAATAACAGTGGTATCATTAATGAATGCTCTTCAGACTGGCTGCTTCTTCAGGCCTCTGCTGATATGGTGAGGGAAGGTGGGTCCTTCTACATCAGATGCCATGGCTGGAAGAACCGGATTGTCCATAAGGTGATCTACTACAAGGATAACTTCGCTTTCAAGTATTTGTATGAGAGTCCCAACATCTTCTTTAGAAATGCCACATTTAATAACAGTGGTAACTATCACTGCACAGGAAATCTTCAGCAACTGACGCGTACCTCTGAGCCCTTCAGAATTACTGTAATGAAAGGTGAGTTGGTAAAGAAAATAACCATAGCAGAGAGAGCAAAAGAGAACATGCGAGTCACCATTTTTAGCTAGTAGAACAAGGGCATCTGCAAATACTTAGAAGGGCTATTGGACTTGCAGTGAGAAGACCTAGGACTTGTCTCCATAACAGAGTTCTTATGTGCTAAGTGCTGATGATATATCTACTCAAAAATGAAATTTAGTGAAGATTAACATGATAATTTTGTCAAGTGCCTGTATAAAATGTCAAGCATTGTCCAAACATAAAATAGTGCAATTAGCATTTTGAACTCAAATTTATCTGTTGCTCCAAAGAAGAGTGTTTATTTTTATTAAATTGAAAGGGAGATGCAAAGTTGAAGAACACAAAGAACTTAAGGAGTTCATTTGAGCTGAGGAGGACATGAGAAAGGAATCAACCAGGCAGCAAGCTGTGTGCGCAGGTCCTGATGGATTAGGGAATGTGCTTGTGGAGGAGAGGCACATGGACTGCCTCTATGGCTTATAAGAAAAACTGCTGTTTCCAAACTTCACATAAGGGAGGGAGTCTTAGAAATGTTTGACTTTCAAGAAGGAAATTTTGTTTTATTTTGGCATGCTCATAATTATGTCTAAAAATCAAGAAGCCAAAACTCAGAATTAAGTTCTGATGTTGTTCCCCTGCTAATTTGAGACTCAAATGCTGTTTTTTTGTTTTGTTTTGTTTTGTTTTGTTTTTTTAATCTCTGAGTTTCAGGCATCTTTGTGCATAAAGTGGACGGGTTTGTGTAGACTCTAATAGAGTCACTGAAAGCAATTAAAAAGATATTGATACACATGGCTCATATCTTTAGAATTTGATTTCTGGGTGTATTCTGGGACTCTAATTCTAGAAGAGTCACAATCAGTACTGGTAAAATAGAACAACAGCGTCACAAAAGAGTAGCTATAAAAGGCAATGCACTGGGCTGAGAACATAGCTCAGCTGGTAGAGCACTAGCTTTAACATTCCTCAGATCGTGCGTTGAGTCCCCATCACCACATAAACCAGGTATAGTAAGTATACACACCTGTAATTCTAGTGCTTTGGAGGTAGAGGCAGGAGGATCAAAAGTTCAAAATCATCTTTGGCTACCTAAAAAGTCTGAGGCCACCCTTGGCTAGAGACTCTGTTTCAACAACAACAACAACAACAAAACCAAGGGCAATGTAGTACCCTGTTATTACTTCACACAGTAGTTACAGAAATAATGGTTCACTGATTAAGAAGTAAGAGACTGGTGAATCCCTTGCCCCACTGTGTCTCCTTTCTACTTCCAAGTCATCTGTGGATGGGGTCATATTTCCTTTGACATTCTTTCATTGACTAGAGAAATAGCTAATCATGGATTATTGGGAAATTCTTATTCCTTCTTAGTGTTCTAAGGCGTATAGACTGTGAACTCAATCTCTTAAGTGTTTTCTCTCTATTCCTGGATGCCCTATCATGCCAAAGATATAGAACCATGCTTAGGTTCCCTTTCTAAGGAAGCTGGATCTCTGAACTCTTCAATTTTTAATATGAATTGTATTTCTTATACCTACATTTCATTTTAGCTCACCAAAGCAAGTATTATTGGCTACAACCTATTATCCAAATTCTGGTGGTGATTCTGTTCGTTGTGGACACAGGATTGTTGGTCTCAACCCAGGAAGAGTTAAAATTTGTCTTGAAGGTTCAGGAGACTGGAAAAGCCAACAAAATTCAAAAGCTAACCTCCAGTCCAAACACCTAAAGAAACTGCTGTCCCGGAGGAAAAAAAAATTGCAACATTTTTCACAGCATCCTCAACGGCTTCTTTATTGTCAAATGCCACTCACAATATCCTTAGAAAAGTCCAGCTTGAGGATTTGTAGAAATGCTTCATTAAGTCAGTTGTAACTGGTTACATGTAGTCGCAAATGCTCAATAAATACTGATTTAATAAAAGAATGAGTAGATTATTTTTCAGTATTTGTAAAGAGAAATACAATTTAAATAAAATAAACTTGGGACCAAGGGGCATGATGCTTTCAGAGAGGTAGAGTTTGTTTGCATGTTTGTTTATTTGTTTTCTTCTATAAGAAAAGAAGCAGGAGGATATAATTTTAAAAGTCATTTTTTGATCATTGGAAGCAGGGGTAGGCAGGATGATGTGGGAGAGTGCTGGTGAGGGTGGTTTCCTGTATCCTGCCTTCAACTGCGATGAGCTTTTGGTTCTTGACAAAAATTAAGGTGACCCCCGCCCCAAAGCCATAGTAAATTCAGACCAGGATTCCTCTGTAATCAGCTTACCTCTTTTGAATTACCCAAATTTGCTGCAGTTTGTATCATGTCTCCATAGAGCACCCTAAGAATTTCGGAGAAAGTTTAGAAAATGCTAATCAGAACTCTAAACTCTGAATATAGTCTAGGGCTGAATAAACCCTCAAGCAAAGGGAATAGACAGCTTGATGATATTGTCTCATTCATCTTATTTCATTAAAACATTCACTGAAGGCCTGGATCTGTCTCAAAGGGTGAATGGAGCTAAGTTTCTCCCTTGCGAAAATATTCATTAGAAAAACTGTACTGTAAGACATGGATCCAAATCTTGATTCTTCTTCTTTCTAGGATTGTGATTTTGGAAAATCTACTTATATCTCTGTGAGTCAAGTATTTCACTTCTAAAACAGAAATGATGCTAGCCATCCCATCTACCTCTGCTCCCGTGCCATGTACATGTAGACAGATGAGTTGGGGCTTAAGGAAAACTCAGTGCTTGCGATGAGACCAGATGGCCTCAAGTTTACAAAGACTCTACAACAACTAACACTATTTGGAAGAGTACCTAGGAAAGAAGTACATAAACATTGATTGGAACTAGAATTTTCATTTTGACAAGTTTTTTCTTTTTTGGGATGATAAACATTTTCATTACTTCAGCTTTTTCTTTTCCTTTTCTTTTTTTTTTACTACAAATATCTGGTATGAACACCCTTCTCATCCTTCTCCAGTCTTATTTTTCCTACTCATCTCATAGGGTAAGGAATGGCTATGTTCTTGTCACATGGACTCATGTAAATAGGTGTGGTGAGTGGAAAGGAAATTTCTTCCGGAAAACAAGCAAGGGAAAGTCCCCACAAGAAGCTCCTTGGTGCTGTTTTAGGAAACTTGCCATTTCTGGCCCAAGGGCTATTTCAGGGCACTGCCCTCAGATCCTGGTATTACCACTGCATTCACTAAGGACACCTTGTTCCACAATGTTTTCATACACTGTGTGTCACTCAGTGTGTGTGTCAGCATCTCAGGTACTGAGCTAGAGAGTAAATTCCTCTTCTATTTCAGACATGGGTCAGAGGCCTAATACTCAGAGTTAGGAACTGAGGGGTGTTTAGTGCGGGTAGAAATTTGAGGCTTTATCAGCTTGAGAAATATCTGAGACAGTCTTTAGAATCTTGAATACCACGGTTCACTTTTCCCTCCCTTCATCCCCCATTAAGCTTGGAAGGCCTATGGACAGAGCAAAGATAATGGAAGTTCAAGCTGCTCCTAACTAGCTGTGGGATTAGGCAAGGTCATTTGCAAGTCTTTAAGATTCTCTTCCTGTATAAGCAAGGTGGTCTCTAGAGTCTTCTTAACCTCAGACACTGTGTCACTCTTTGCCATTCTTTTCAATGTGGTGACCATCTAGGACCAGAGTCTCAGAAGGCATTCCCAGTTCGGGACCAGCATGGAATTCTTTGCATGTTCCATCACTGCGCACCCAGGTCTGTTACTACAACCATATGCTCGTGTGTGTGTGTGTGTGTGTGTGTGTGTGTGTGTGTGTGTGTGAAATATTCCTATGTCAAAGAACAAGTATATTCTACAGATGAATAGTAAAAGTTGCCGTCCTCTGTCACCTCTGATCAAATTGGTCCAGGGCAGAGCGTAAAGCAACACTGACTCTTCAAAAATAGACCATCACAAATCCTCATAAGTTCCCAATAATTAGCAGGGGGTGGGGAAACAAGCCAACATCTCCTCACTTGTGATTCATGGAAGGCAACTTTCAAGACCCCTCCAGAACAAAAGATCAACCTGGTGAGGATATTTGGGAACTGAGTCTCTGGAGGAAGGATGGATATGTGCTCTCTTCTCATCAAATGGAAGATGAAGAAATCATGAGCACCTCTCCAAACCCAGGGAAATAGTTTCCTGATGTAGAAGGTAGAAACACTCAGGATAGCCCAGGCCTATGGATGACTACAGAAAGTAGAGCTCTCTTCCAGTGTTAGATTACCTACCCAGCTCTGGACATTATTTACCAAATCCAGGTCCCTGTCTGGTACTTCATTAACTGCCACACCATTCATATTCTTTTTAAAGAGTTATATGCATTTGAATGTCTGCCTACATGTATATAAGTGCACCACATGCATACAGTATCCATGGATGCCAGAAGAGACTGCCAGATCCCTGGGAACTGGAGTTACCGGTGTTTGCTAACAACCATGTGGGTACTGGGAACTAAATCCAGGTCACCTGGAAGAGCAGTCAGTATTCTTAACCACTGAGCCATCTCTCCAAACCAAACATTCCTCTTCTTAAACTTTATTAATGTGCTCAGAATCACTATCAAGTTCACTTACATGTATCACTTGCAATACCCACATTCTTTCTTTTTCAGAACTTGAAAAGACATAGGGACACGGTCAAGCTTTCTTTTTATTGTTGCTGTTCAACATAGCAGTGAGAATGAAGAAGAGTATCTCTGGTATGTTGTGAGATCGGGCTCTGGTGAGTCTGAAATTGCTCACTGAAAATTCAGACAAAAGATTCAGATATTTATTTTATCGAATTTTCAACAAGATAATACTAAGCTATGCCATGTAAATCTAGTCATGCTATATATAATTCAACAACTAGCATAAAAATGTGTTTTAAAACCAAAAGAAAAGATCTTGCACACCTGTACTAGAAAAAGTTAAGGCTGAAAATTGTTTTGCCCATGTGTGCCTACTGTTCTAGAAATGAAATTCTGGTACAGATTGGCTACCCAAGAAACAGGCTCTGAGACAGAGGCTTGAATGAAGCCTCCACACATCTTCTGGAGTGGGAGAAGCAGGGCTGAAAAAGAAAGGAAACTGAAATGCTAGGCAGTCACAGTAGATAACTCCCTTCTCATAGATGAGCCCTGGACCTGTAATAGTTCTTCAAAATTATTACAGAGAGGAAACATTCTGAAATGGACAAATAATTGAAGGTACCATATTCTGAAAGGTAGTATAAACTTAAGATGATGCAGCTCCTTAGCAAGAACAATTTCTGAAGGGGACTCATGGGGATCCTTCAGACCAGGTTCTTAGGGAGTCTGGAGGTAATGCATATATGTGTTCTGAGGGGTTCAATCAGGGGGTATACATCGATATCCACCAAATTCATCTTCAGAAATATGATGACAATTACAATGATCATTATACTTTTATTTCACGGCTTTAAACTAGAGTCAACTGAATTGCTAAGCCAAATTTTTTTTTTTCGGTCTTTTTGAGACAGGGTCTCCCTGTAACCCCAGCTGACCTGGAACTCACTATGAAGAAAGATCCACCTGCCTCTGCTTACAGAGTGCTGGAATTAAAGGCATGCACCACCATGCTGGCTAAGTCAGATTTTTTAAATTATGTTTTAACCAACTTTATAGAAAAGACCCTATTCAAACATTTCTGGAAGTCTGGGCCCCTTTAGTAAAGATGTCTCTCTCCTCTCTCTTCCCCTATTCAGACTTTATATTTGAGTATTTTTCTTTCCCAAAGTGACACATGGACTTGAGTTTAAGAATTGTCCATTTCCATGGACTTGCTCCATTCCTGGCAACCAGTAGATGTGATGAAACTTTTACAGTGATATCTGCTGGGCTCCTTCCATCCTCTTTATTCCTGCCTATTTATTCATTGGTTATTGAAAGGATGAAAAATGTTAACATATTTAGCATGTCATTCTTTTCGGTCTGAGTTTTCTCATGTATGCATCTCAGGACTACGGACAATCCATGTCTGTGTTCTCTGTAGCCGGTGCTATTTTTCTGACACCTGTAGTACCATCCACTTTGAAGATATACTTCAGATCTTTTGGAAAATTCTCCAAGTCATCACACATTAGCATGATAGTGAAAACAGACTATAAGAAGGCCTTCAACATAAAGCTATTTACTTAGTTGCTATAGCTTCTGTACAAACTACGCCAGTGTCTTTCACAACAATAAAGTCTTCTTGAGTAGTTTCCAGCTTTAGGAACTTACTATAATTAGTGTTTTAGCAAAACTGAATTAATATAGCTTCATATTACCTAACAATGAGGATCTGTTTGGGGATATACATTTGTAAGCAATTTCATCATCATGTAGATAGCATAGAGTGTGCCTATACAAACGTAGATGATATAGTCTCATGTATACATGGTCATACAGTTATATATGAGGGCTCTCATTGAATGAAAAGTGATGGTGTGGCACATGACTACAACTCAGTCATGTTCACATATGTAGGAGTCTATACACAAAGCAGAGTTTGGCAAAAGTTGGACAAAAACGTGAACCATGAAAGGTTGAACAAAAGTTTTCAGTTGAAAGAATAGTAGGTCTCTGGCTATAGGGTTTGTAAATTTTCTTTTGTTCGTTACTAAATATATAAAAGTCATATTCCAATTGCTTCAGAGCAGAGCACAGAGAATCCTGATTGTACAAAAGGGAAGCCTCCAGGTTATAAACTAAAGAAAAGTCCTTCACAAATGATCATAATTAAGAGGAAAGAGGCTTTTGACACATGGCTCTGTACAGAGCATCTTTGACCTCCTTATTCCTCAAGCTATAAACTAAAGGGTTCAGTAGAGGAGTGATGACAGTGTAGGTCACTGAGATGAGTCTGTCCTGTCCCAGGAAACTCTGAGACTTAGGCTTCAGGTAGATTATTGCCGTGCAGCCATAGTGGATGATGACCACTGTGAGGTGGGAGGCACAAGTAGCAAAGGCCTTCTTCCGACCCTCAGCTGAAGCAATCTTGAGGATAGTGGAGATGATCACGACATAGGAAATGAAGCCCACACCCATGGGTAGAATGAGGACACAGACACTGACAACAAAGTTGATGATATCATTGACAGTGGTGTCTGTGCAAGCCAGCTTCAGCAGAGGTCTCACATCACAGAAGAAATGGGGGATAACAAAACCATCACAGAAGGGCAGGCCAAACACAGAAGTAACCTGGACAATGGCCATGCACAGACCAATTGCCAGTGAACCAGAGGCCAAGTAGATGCAGGCCTTCCTACCCATGATCACTGAATACCTCAGAGGGTTACAGATGGCCACATAACGGTCATATCCCATGACCATGAGTAAGAAGCAGTTGTTGATACCAAAAGTTAGATAAAAGAAGAGTTGGGTCACACAGTCTTGAAAAGCAATAGTATGATAAGGACTCAGGAGGTCAGAAAGCATACGGGGAATAATGGTAACAGTGTAGCAGGTATCAGAGATAGACAACACCGCCAGGAAGAAGTACATTGGTGTGTGGAGGTGACGGTCCAGGTGGATAATAGTCACGATGATCACGTTGCCACACAGAGTCAGCAGGTACAATGTTAGAAAAACAACAAAGAAGATAAGCCGATGTTTCCAACCAAAGCTGGAGAAGCCTTCAAAGAGAAAGTCAGTCACAAAGGTAGAGTTTCGCTTTGGCATTGAGGCAAGTATAGACCTCAGGGAGCTGGGCAAAGAGAAGAAAGGTGTGATGAGTTGACTGTGAAACAGAGTAGGCAGGATTGAGACCTTCAGTGAAGATTGTGTCTAGCCAGGGCAAGGCTCTAGACCCCAGAGTCATTAGGGCTCAGGTACTGGAGAATTCCTCAGTCTTCATGATTGTTCCCCCATTTCTTTGGAACTGTAGAATGTTTAACCTGACCATGGGATTTTGGAAGTACAGGAGAAGATGAGTAACAAAGGAAGAAATTTGTATAAATAGCTGTCTGCCTTCAGTTTCTTGATTATATACTTATTACTGAATCACATGGTAGTTCTATTTTTAATTTTAAGGCATATCTTCCACTGTTTTAATGATTGTACTTTCTTTACATTACTTCTACAGTGTACAAGGTTTCCAGTTTGTAACTATTTTCTGATACTTGTATATGCTGATAAATTATATATTATTCCTTACAATTTCATAGATGATATACTGTATTTTATACCCATAATAACTTTTAGGAGGTATTTGTGTATAGTTTTAATTTCATTTTCCTAATGATTAGATGTTCTAAACAATTTCTCATGTGTCTGAATTAAATTCAAAAGCTCAAAGAGATCTTTACATTCATATTTATTAGCACTCACTCACTATACACAACAGCCAATTGATAGGAACGACTCAGATGTCCATAAACAAAAAAAATTACTAAAGAGGTCTGGAGAGATGGCTCAGTTGTTAACAGCACTGGCTACTCTTCCAGAGGACCTGGGTTCTGTTCTCAACATGTACATGGAGGCTAAAAATCATTTGTGATTCCAGTTCTAGGGTACCTGACACCTCTTCTCGTCTCTATGGCCTTTGTTTGATACACGTGCACTTACATATATACAGGCAATGCATTTATGCACATACAATTAAAATAAAGAAAAATAAAAATGTACATGGTTTGAATTGAATATCACTCATTCTGAAAGGAGGAAATCCTGATAATTGTTACAACATGAATTAATATGGAGGGCATCATGCTAAGAGAAATAAACTCATGAGAGCTGGACAAATGATTACATTTATATGTTATTTGGAATATTCAAAATGATGGAAGTTTTAGCTTTATTAAGGATTACCAGCAGCCAGAGTGGAGAAACTAGGGACTTGCTCAACAACTGTAAAGTTTCCACATGCAGTGTGCATTACTCCTTAATATTTTCTATATGGCATGATGACTAAGTCAATAATATTGTGTTGTAAAGTTCAAACAATTTTTTTGTCTTTTTGAGACAGGGTCTCCCTGTAGCCACAGGTGGCCTGAACACAAAATAAAAACATCCAGAGATTCTGAGAAATGTTTGAAGCCAATAGTTATGTCTTTTTCTTGATTGTGGGTGATAGTTTCATGTGTACATGCCTATGTCTAGACTTTACAGCTGTACATACATAGTTCATTGGATTTCAAATATGCTTTAATACATTTGCTTTAAAAATCAAGGAATCTGGCCAGAAAAATGACTCAGTGGGGAAAGGTGCTTATCACTAAGTCTGAAGACCTGAGTTTTGATTCCTGGGACCCACATGGTAGAAGGAGAGAACAGACTCCAGGACATTGTCCTCTGACAATAATAATAATAGCATATGTACAAACACACACGCAAAATGTAATAAAAATTATTTTTTTTCTTATTTATTTTTACACCCACTTCCCAGATAGCACCCTCCCACAGCCTCCCTCCCCCCACTAGACCCCTTATGCTCTGATATCCCTGCTACTGTCTGCTGTGTTGTCGGCACCCCCAGCCTTGCCCTTCTTGTGTTGTCGGCACCCCCAGCCACTACCCTTGCCCTTCTGGTGAATCTAGTCAGCCTATCTAGAGGTCTTTGTTTTAGGAGGGTCAGCTGTTCCCCATCTAGCGGTAATCAGTTGTCAGTATTCCTTTGGATAAGATTGGGGTCTGCTGTTCATTTTCCCAGTTAATAATCAACTACTTGACCATCAGAGAACTAGATCTAGGTCAGGGACAAGTGTGATACCATATGTGATGCTATTTTTAGCTCCTCAACATATTTGAAATCACTACCATGAGTTTAGTGAATTATATATATGTGACACTAATACCCTTTCTACATTTTAGCAGCATTCAATACCTAGTGTCCTGTAACTTCTCCATAAGGAGTTCTCCTCCCCAGAATCCTGGTCTAGTCCTAGGCATCATCTCCCTAAGACAGGCATCTACTTACCCATCACCCTGAAACACTACACAAAGAAGCACTCCTAGTGCCTAATCTTCCCAAAGACGCTGTAACGACTGTCCTCTGACATCATGAAAATGGTTTCATATGTACTACAGGTAGCTGGCTATTCCCTTGAATTCTAGCCCCAGGAAAGAAAAGGAATGGAATGAGCCAAGACTATTCATATGGAAAGAAAATAGCCTTTACTATGTGACAGTAAAGAGAAAATTCATTTAATCAAAGATCAAAGAAGGAACTGAAGTCCTGTTGATCTTTATCACTGCACATTCCACACAGTGTTATAGAGAGACAGGAGCAGGCCCGACTGTCTGCCTTTTATCTTCCCCCAGGTGAACCTAGCATAGGAGAGTGTACTAGAGTAGATTTCCTCCCACCTTAACCAGGATTAGCCAATACCTCCACCAGAAAACTGAATCCATTGAATTGTTTCTCTTCCTTTTTACATTGTCCCAAGACATCACCTTCTGAAACTCCCTCCTTTTCCTACTTCCCATTGGCACCCAACATCTGATTACCCATTATCATCCCTGTATCATCACCACTATTTCTAAACCCAGTTCCACATTTCATGACCATGCCACACTTCCATCTGAATGCTGTAATCATGATTTCATGAAAACTCTACTCATTGACAACTGTTGCATAAATTCCTTCAGTTACTTCAAAGTTTTAACCACAATGTTCAAATTCACTTGTAAGATTATTATAGTAATAAAGCACTGAGTTGCCCTGAACATTAGCCATATTAATGCAGGTGAAGAATTTGATATGGTACTTGACAAACAGGAAGCCCTTAATAAATAGTAATTTTGTTACTCGTTATTCTTTTCTATTTTTCGCAAATGAGCCACTTTAAATTCAGTTATTCTTTGGTTTGTAAAGAATTATTTGAATACCTCAAAGTTTATTTTACAAATTTTGTAATTTCTTGCTTTTTCATTCTCTTTTGGAATCTCTCTGGAGGAACATTGAACAGAAGCACATACTGCTACACGAACTATTCTAAAACAGGTATGGATTAGGTAGACTATAATCTCCAGTTTTGCCTCTAACAGCCTCATTATGATGTCCAACATTTTACTTCTCCCTGGAGACATAGTGACTGCTCATCCAACTAATTTAACTAGGAACAACAGTTACATCAGGATCCTTGCTTGGTATGCAACTCTTAATTTGGAGTCCATTCCTGTAAGATCAGTTTCTATTATACCTATATACACTGAAATTCACACACATTCTTATGATTTGATTTCATTTCAGGGAACAAAAGACCCTATTTACGCCTGTTGTTTCATGCTTATGACCTCAAATATTTGTTCCCTATCTCTTCCAGACCACTAGTCAGTTCTGTTTACACCTTCAAAATTTTTATCCTAGTACCATTATACAAGAGTCTCTAACAAATAATTAGAAAAGGATTCCAAGCAGAATAGGCAAATAAGAGACACTGGCAAAAGCAGAATTACTCCATAGGGCCTAGGAAACAAAAGGATAAGAAATGACGAAACCACGAGTGACAGATGGATGGAAAGCACAAAATTCAGAGAATGTTCTGAGTTCAGAGTTTTTGTTGCCTTTGTTTTTATCAAATAGATAGTGTAAAAAAATGATATGAAGTCTTCCCCTAGCTAATTCTAGATTAATGTACTATTTATATTTTTTTCTTTCAGAAGGGAACACATTTATTGTGTTGCTTCTTAAATGCTTCAACAATCTTTATGCATTTCAGTTAGTTGAAACCAAAACCTGTTTGATTTTAACAGCAACTAATTTTTTTTTTGACAGCACAATGTGTTCAATAGTTGCAGCATAAGTATAGTGCTGGGAAGGAAGAGAAACATGATTCAGATGGTCTTTCTGTTCATGGAGCTTGCATTCTTGAACAATTTGGACATAAGACCCAATTCGAAGCCTTCCAAATGTCTAATTCCTCCTCATTGCATTCTACAATATACTCATCCAAATTTCCAGTCTTGGTGCCTATGCGAGACCATGTTCTCCACCTTCTGTAGACTGATACTAGACATGTGACAACTGACTATACGCTCTTGTTCCCTACCCTAGTCACAAAACAAAGTGAGGCTCACTAGCCACCCTGCTTTTTGTATCTTCTAGAGAGTTTCACTCACGTCTTAGTCCCATCCATGTTACTATGGAAATTTAACCACTTAAGATAATAGAATATAGAAGTTTACTAATAGATATAAAATATTATCATGTTTTTTGTGAATGTCCTTCTTAAAACTATGTAAAACTACCAATTACTTTACTTTAAATTATTTAATGAAGTACACAGGGTCACTGAAATCTTAACGAGTAAAGGTATGACTTAAGAACCCATTTTTTTGGCAACTCTCTTATCACCTTCCGAAACATGTATCTAAAAGCAGCTACTTACAAAGGAGGGAAGAATGCTTACCTCACTCAGCCTGTATATGAGGCAAAAATGAAAACCAGAAAAAGTTACATTGAGTTCCTTCCAGATTTTTCAGTCTCACCCACTGAAGTGTCTCTGGTCACAAAGAAGTAACTGTGGGTTGAGATGGGGCAGTAGGAAAGTACTAAACTTCTGCTAGAAATCCATGGTGTCTTTCTCCAAAACAGCACTTTTTCCTCCCTAATGATTAACGGCAGAAGACAAAACACAAATAGCGGAGTGCCTCGAGACCTCATTATGGAGAAAGCTCATTTCCTAATCCTGAGCATAACACCTGGGAGAGCAGAGCTGGCTAAGCTATTAGGAACACTC